AGTTGAAGAAATTGTACATGGAGACAAGAATTTCGATGTAAATGATCTACTTTAATTGTCAGTTTCAATTAATAAATAGAATTTACATCCGATTTAGAGAATCGGTCAATTTTTTTGGTTTAAAAAAAAAACACCATATTATCGCAAATTATACAGTCCTGGTTAGCTAACAATACATTGCTTTATTATTACGAAGCTGTCCGTTAGTAGGTATAAGCTATTTTATTTTATTTTTTTTTTTTTTAGTACTGTAGTTTATTTTATTTTATTTATTTCATTTTTTTATTTCATTTATTTTTATTTTACTACTATATTGTTTTATGTTTTATTTGATTCATTATTTTATTTATATTTTACTTATTTTATTTATTTATTTATTTATCAGAGTTCAGGCCAAGTAAGAATACCCATATCATTTTCTTGGTAACCGAAAATAGGTTTACCGTCAGAAATTATGTAATATGCGTTTCTGATGAAATTCTTGGCGGGCACAGTCCTATCAGATAGGTAAAAATTTTAAGAATTGTATCACGTAATGTGATTTACGAATCATCATATACATATATCGAGAATTCTAACGCTTTCTCCTAATCGCAGCTTCTTTTTTTTTTTTTAAAGGGAAGTAATAGTTTACTTATAACGCGGGGAAACAATTAAAATAAAATGGGTTTTATGAACATTTCTGGTAAAAGTAAAGTCAACACCATTTCTTCATACCAACATATGTTGCCGTGGATGAGGATTACGCCTCAAGACATCTGTGAGCAAATACTAGAACTTGCAAAAAAGGAACTAACACCCTCACAAATTAGCATATACCTTCGGAACTTTTGTGATATTAAGCCAGTTAAAAATATTACAGTGAATAAAATTCTTCGAATCCTTAAGTCTTATGGTAAGTAATGCAAAACTATTATTGACCAGGAAATGATCAGAATGGAAAAGATGCGATTTCATAAAAGCTTGTATTGGCAAAATATTTGCTTAGGTGATAGCGCAAAATTGAATACGAAAAAATTATTTACTTGGTTCGATAGTAAAAAAAAAAAACAAGGACAAAACAAGCGCTAAAGTTGTAATTGCATGTTAGTTGTGATTTATTGTGAGAATTGCGAATGTAATTCATTTATTTGCATGAAATATTATCGTATAGTAAAACATATATCGGTATGCAATTTTTTTTTTAAGCAGGCCAATAACGAGGGTTATCCTGGTCAATAATAGTACTTTTGCATAAGTAATTGCTTTATTTTTTTTTAAAAAAAAAAAACTTTTGTTGAACGATTGTACTGTACTAACGATATTGGTGATTTTCTTTTAAGGTCTAGCACCCGAAATTCCTGAAGATCTTCATCATTTGATCAAGAAAGCCACTACTGTTCGTAAGCATTTGGAATGGAATTGTCATGATAAGGATGCCGAATTCCGATTAATGTTGATTGAATTAAGAATTCGCCGCCGCGCCAGATACTATAAAATCGTAGGACAACTTTCCCGGGACTGGAAATAGTATCCTTAAGTTCATTGTGTTTACCTTCGGTTTTATTTCGTCTGATGACTTTGTTGACGAGTCGAATTCAAATCTATTTTAATATTGTTCTTAAATTTGTTTTTTTTTTTTTTTTTTTTTTTTTTTTTTTTTTTTTTTTTTTTTTGTTTTCATTATTTTTTTTATCTAGTGTACACTAATGTTGTAAAAACGAAAATCATTTATTGTTGTACGTCGAAATAGAGACTCATTAAATCTGGAATCCACTTAAGCGGATTCTAAATACTGTATATTTAAATTGAAATAAAATTTCAATCTATCTAGGTGGTTAGAGATTTTGAATCAACCTAAAGTTGATTCCGAATCCATTTGTAGATAATTATAATTATTAAGATTATAACTTGCAAAATGGCAATGTTTATAGGCTAGAGCCTTAATTATCATGCCATCAAATTTTAGGTTGCCTTGAATATATTTAATAAAATTATATATATTCGCAGTCAATTCATTGTATTTATATTTTAATTGATTAAAAAGAATGATCGAGCCTTTGAACCTAAAGATATAAAACTCGTAGCCATTATTAACTACAGAATTTGAGAAAATAATTTATAAAATGTATATACATAAATTAAGATATAATTTTTGCTCTTCAAAGGGGATGGCTAAAGCCATGTACGCGTTAGGGTTCATTTTTGATGCATTTAGAGTTAGTGGTTTATAAAGATACAAGAATATGATTTATGCACTATATAGATCAATATGTAAAGGTATGTGGCTTTAGACGATCTCCCTTCAAATCCATTTAATAAACTGAATTGGTATTAGTACTGCTTTGATTTTATATAATACAGTTATGTGTATTTACTCTATTTTTTGTATACTATATAATTTGGGATTTGGGATTTGGGACTTGAAATGGGATTTGGGATTTGGGATGGGATTTGAGATTTGGGATTTGGGATTTGGAATGGGATTTGGAATTTGGGATATGGAACTTGGGATTTGGGATTTGGGATTTGGTCAAAGTTTGGGATTTGGCCGGAGTTTGGGATTTGACTAGGGTTTGGAATTATGACAGCCCAAATAAGATTTTTCCAGTTTGGGATTTGGGATTTTTCCACATGGGATTTGGGTTTGGGTGGGATTTTAAGAATTTATAGTTTGGACAACATGTATAGCTGTAGTGTATGTACAGTGAGCTAATACGTAACGATAACAGGTTAATCACTTTATAACAATTCTAACCAAAAAAAGAACAATTCTTGATTAAACTCGTGGTACAATATAAAAGGACTTTTTGGGAGAGTTTAAAGATTTAACAAAGTTTATCATTCGATTACTGATTACTAAAAGGACGGGACAATGAGTATGAAAAATGACATTTCAATTGATTGCTCTTTCAAAACTTTTTACAAGCATAGCTAAAGCTGTCATCATATTTTTAAAACGGTTATCACTCTAATGTTAGCGACAATCCAGAAACAAGTGGTATTTGTTTGGGATTTTTAACTTCGTCATATAACTCTAGGAATTTTATAATATATTAATATTATTACCTAATATTTAATAGAGTTTGATTGATTCGTTACGTATGAAATAATGATCATAGTTTAAATAATTTAAAATCGATTACATAATAAGGTAAAATTTCAATGTGATCGTGAAAGACAAACATGATGAACCTTAAGAACATTCTTGATTTTTACTTAAATTCTTTACTTCTCTTGCCTGCGCTTTTCTTTTCACCTCTTATTGTTTACATAATTTGTATTGGATTTGAACCTCTTTGGTTGTGGCGACAACTATTCTTACTTCTAACCTCTGGGTATGAATTCCTGTTTTCTTTATATTAATTGGTAGCCTTATGGTCTAACAAATTTTTCTAATAGCAATCGACAAAAAGAACAAAAGGAATTATTACAGGCATGTTTTTTTGATTAATTAAGAAATAAAGATATGGCTAACAATATATATCAAATTCTACCGATTTGCAATATGATTCATGTTCGTTTCAGGCGAAGGGATCCTACAGTGAATTCGAGACTTTTTTGATGTCTCTTGATATTCCAAATATCATTATTCCTGACTGTGATCTAAAACAGTTTGAAAAAATTGCATTCTTAAATTCCCGCTTTCTTCGAATGAGTCTTATTGAGGGACAACTTGAGATCATCATGCCACCATTGCCAGTTCACGTTGAAACCGGTATGTTATGCTTTGTGTATTATATTGAGCTTGAATGTCAATAGATAGTCCTGACGATGATAAAAAATTATTATTAGGTGATAGGGAATTTTAAATTATTTTACAGGTTGGCGGGTGGTGCAAAGCCAATAAAAGTTCAGTTTGGATCCGTGGTTCTCCGCAGGTATATTATATAAAAAAACATAGTAATTATTCTTTATCTTGTTAATACTCCAATCACTTTAATTTTAGAGTGCCTTCAGGTTGCTTAGGCTGGAAAATCCTGATTCTCCTGATAAACCCACTATTCTATCTCCCGATACTGCCGTCATTCTCAAAACAAGGTTTTTGAAATAATTAAATATAAAGATAGTTTTTCTTTTTAAAATTGTTAATTTATATTTCCATTATTGCAGATGGGATTCTTTAACCAATGAAGAAAAAAAATTATCATTCCCCCCAGTTGCCCCAAATTTCATCATTGAGTTGCGTTCGTCAAGTTATTCCCCCAATCTCTTCATCAAAAAATGATTCGTTGGGTGAAAGCAGGTGTAGATGTAAGAAAATTAATGACAATTGATAATTGTTTATTAATTATATTTTTTTGGTTAATTACTATTATAATGTTATCTAGGAGGGAATCTCCATAGACTTAATTACAAATCCACCGGAGGTTAGAATCTATACATTTAATTCTGACACTAATAAAGTCATTTGGAAATCATTGGTAAAACCCGATCAGGTTGAATCAGAAGTTCTCAAAGGGTTTGTTTTAGACATGCAAGAGATATATTGGCAATAAAAAAGTTACGTTACAGAATTTTGGAGTATTAATAAAATAGGCCTGAAGAATTATTTTTTATTTCTTATTCTCTTAATAAACAATAATAACTCTGTTACATTTTGTTTAATCGAATGAGGATATACTAAGAAGAGGTAGACTATATAGTCGTCCCTCTCTATGCCAAATTTTGTCAGTTATAGAGTGAATTCATCAAATAATTAATTCTTTTATACCATTTGTATCGGTATAGAAGATTTGATATAGCAAATTGATCAATAACATTTATGACGTGATTAAGCACGCCATTTCTATTTCACAGAAATCGTTACATTTACGATACATTTACGATATTAGATTACCGTGGTAAAATAGTGCAACTACTACTACTAGACCAATAATTCAATGCTGAATTGGTTACCAAAAACTAATGACTCTAGGATATGGCAAGGATCTTAAACATTGACGTTAATATGGCTAGGTGTTGGAAAAGGATTTGGTAGATTTCCCTGACAACCATTTACCTGACAACTATTTCGCGACGGTCATTTTACCAAAAGTCCATTTCCCTGACAGCCCGCTTCCCCGAAACTATTTCCCGATTCCTCGAAATTATCGTTACGAATTACATATGTTACAAATATTCCTGAATACATAACACAATATTTTTTGACTGTTATTAGTTATGTTGTAAACTGCAGAATTGTATATCAATATTTATACCTAATGCCGATTTCTGATTTATGGTATGAAATTGAATTTATTGTTATAATAAACATCGTAAATATTAATCATATATGTTTTATCAATATCTTATCAAAATACCCAGATAACATATTAAACAAATTCAAATATAAGAATTTGTGTATTTTAGTCTTAATGTCAAATGTGTCAAATATTATGCAAATTAGTGGCATTCTGTGAACTTTGAAAATATTATTTGGAAATTACAGACTGCAAATTTGGATTGAAACCCTATTATAGAGACCGTGGGTGATTTAATCAGATACATTCTATGTGATCACTGAACGATTTCCGTGTAACTTATTCGGTCATCTCCTAATACAATTTACAAAATTTCACTCACCTCTCACGAGATGAGTGAACATTTGCGTACAGCATTTTATTAGGAGGTAGTCGAATAAGTTACACAGAAAATAATCCAGTGCTTATGTCAGATATGTCGGATAACCAAGTTATCAATCGAGTCTTTGTAAATGAATAATAAGATATCATCTACATGATTGATAACTAGTACGTATTTTACGATTTCTAATTAACAGTTAATAAAATAATAAAATTCAAACGAAATGATGGATTATACCTAAGATACCTAAGCATCGCCTTATTTAGATATTTAGATTAATAAATATGTTATTTAGATATTTAGATTAATAAATATGTTTTCTACTTAGCCTAAATTATCTAGTAATATGAATAAAATGAAACTAAATAATAAACGTTTATACACTAAATATTCTATTTTTAATAAATGTTTTTATTTTTATTTTCTAAAATAAATTTAAACAGCCAAATTCGAAGATATAACACACTGGTTTTATAATTCGGAAAGTGGGTTTAAAAAGACCAAATAATCCCAACAATTTAGGGCAAAATCCTGACATACAAGATCTCGTAAACCATAATCCCGACGTGACATTTAATATTTAAAGATTAATAATCACATTAACAATCATTGTCAGACAGACTTTAAATTTTTAATTGTCACGTCGCGTGATGTCAGTATTATGACCTGTCGAGGTTTTGGATGTCGGGATTTTGCGGTATAACCCAATTTTAGGTATTACGAACTATGAATTATATAAACTTGTATGTAAGTAATCTATGCGGTTGTTTGTATAGATGTAAGCTAAAAGAATTTACATATAAGGACCCGAAAAATGAAAATAATTACAAATAAGGGCCCAAAGCGAAAATTTATATTAGGTCCAAATTTTGAAAGTATCAAAATCTAGTTAGATTGAAAGTTTTTAGCATTTAAAATTATTTAAATGTAATTTTCTTTTGATGGTTGAACGTACATATTACTTTTTTAATCAATATTGCATTTATTCTCTTAGTGTCTTGCATGTATAAACTATGACTAATTTAACTTTTTCTACGAATACAAATGAATATTGCAGTTCTAAATACCTTTGATTAACGCATAATAACCTTCTTGAAATATGATTCATTAGTTTTGGTATAGGATAGATATTAGTTTAGAACTGAATGAACATTACAAGATTAATAAATATCGTAATTAGCTTAATCAAACTGTATCTTGATTAAAAAAAAGTTTCATTAAGCGAAATGATATAGTATCAAATGTATAAAGTAATACTATATACAGTGATCATGTTCAAAGAACTATTATTATCATAACGTAACGATAAAACTATTTTAGCCCTTAATTGTAAATTTTTTCAAAATTTGGGTCCTTATCTGTAATTATTTTCCGTTTAGGCCCTTATTTGTAATTATTTTCATTTTTTGGGCCCTTACATGTAATTTCCCCTAAAATTTACGAAAATATGTATGGTTAGCAAAACTTATAACATTTATTTTTTATGAGTGATCTCTTTTTAATAGTTAGGGTGACTTCTAATATTTATTCATATTAGGTTTATGCATACTATCTTAATGTCTACTGTAAATACTTTGTTAATTACACATCATATGTTTTCTTTATTAAAATATAGATACCAATATTAAATATACATTGTTTATTTTAAAGATACGAATCCACATTTTAAATACTATAAAATATTTATTATTTGCAAAAATCAAGACGAATTAATTCGTCCCCATCAAAATAATTGTTATTAATTGGCAATGCAAAAAATAGCATCATTTTAAAGAAAAATCATTCATACATTTGTTACGCTAAATAGAAAAAATACTTCAAAATTTGGTGTGTTATCACAAAAAAAAAATGCAAAAACTCTACATTTAAGAAAAACAAAAATTATGCTCCGTTTTAATACATCCTTTTTCAGTATGGGATCTTTTGCAATTTCTGCATCTTTTTTTACAACCATCCTTATCTATCGTTTGACCACAGTCTTTGCAAACTGTACAACAAGGTAGTTCGCCAGCTTTATGCTTGCAAGTGTCATATATGTATTGACATTCTTCACTTGTGCGCGATCCATTGCAGCAACGGTACTGTTTTTTACATCCCCTACTGAGAGGATCTTTATCACAACATTCATACTTATTGCGACAACCATCATTATTATTCTTACAACAAGAATAAACTTTCTCACATCCAGATGAATTTAAATCTTTTTCGCAACACTTCCAGTATCCACGAATCATAGGGTTAATAACCCCAAGTGTAACAGCACGAATAAAACATACACCAGGATGGAAATTTATTCGAGCATCAACAGGAATGCCAGTGTGCATAAACTTTTTTGAGCCGGGATGATAAGCTTCTAAATTGCCAGTGTTAGTATTAGTAACTTTTTTCTTTTCACTTCACTACGAGAAGATGTCATCAGATTGGCGATATCCTATTGTAGGGCGGTAGTGCTTTTCTAAAATAGATAGAGTTCTATTTTGAAACTTATTGGGATGTATTCAAATGGATGTGCAGCTAGTCGCTTATAAGTGTTTTTAGAAGTAACTGCAGGTTGTCAAGCCTCAATATTATGCAATGCAATTATCTTTTATTTGATCAAACAAATGCTATATAATAAAGATTCATTGGCAAGATGGTCAAAGTAGAAAAAAAATATATATATTGTATAATTATAGTAAAAATAGCAAAAACCTTATAAGCAGATATTCATATAATTGGCTAATTTTTGTTAATCTATCTATAATTACTTGTAATAATTAACTAATAAAACTACTAAGCTACAATTAATTAATTTATATAGAATAGTATATTAATTGATGATTCACAAGTCATGTAAAGAATAATCTTAGTATAATATAATACAAATCATATATAAAAATTACTATAGGTAGAAATATAGCATGTGTCTAGAAAAATTTTTTTTCTTACTAAGTTAATTGTTCTTCTTTATTAAATAAAAGTTGTAGAGCTTATTAAGATACACCTAATAACAGTTAGATCATTTAAATTAGTCTAGTGAATGACAAGATATCTTTAAAAAATGGTTTGTTAACTATATAAAATTCTATATAAACAATAGTATTGTTTATATAGAATTTTATATAGTTAGTAAAATATGTTTTGAAGATATCTTGATATTTACTAAGCTGATTTGGATGATCTAACCATCATTAGGTGTGTCTTAACAAGCTTTACAACTTTTGCTTAATAGAGAAGGTAGAGAAGGACAATTAAATTAGTAAGAAAAAAGTTTTTCTTAAGCACATGTTACATTTCTGCCTATAGTAATTTTTATATATGATTTGCATTATATTATACTAAGATCATTTTTTACATAACTTATGGATCATCAATTAAATTAAAATAAAAGCTACTATATAATTAATTAAGAATGTTTTTAAGCATCTAAATCAATTAATTAATAAAAAATAATTACTAATTTTAATTTGTAGACAAATGATTATTAATTAACAAATTAAAAAATTAAAATTCAAATTACTTTATATTAATAAATAAAATAACAAAAAAATTATTATTAACTTTTTCTGCTAATCATCAAAATACAAATTTACAAGAATAAAAATTAATAAAAAATATACAAAGACTACTAAGAAACCAGACTTAGAGCTTTAAGAAAAAAAAAAGAGAACTACAAAAAATATTTAGTTTTTTAAAAGACTCAAGTAAAAAGAGCAGAAACAACAAAGAAATAGAAGAAAATATGAAAAATTATTAATATTTTTTTGCACTTTGCAAATTTTTGAAGAATTGGCCTTGTTTTATAATACAAATCTATTTTGGTAATACAAGCATTACAATATATAATAAAAAATAAACAAAGAAAATATATTAAAAACTACATAAAGAATATAAACAAAGATAATTAACAATCACAATAAACAATCAATAATAACAAAAAAACAGCAAATTATATAAAGCAAAATTTAACAGAATATTTCAGAAAAAACTTATTACAAAAGAAAAAACAAAGATAAAAATAAAAGCTCTCTAAGAAGAACAATAATAGTACAGAAGATGTGAAATTGACTATACAGAACTTGAACTTAGAAAAAGAAACAATCATAATTATAAAGTAGCAATACAAAATAGAAAGATCTAGCTATATTTATTATACAAGAAGAAATATATAATATTATGGGTGTGGCAACTTAGTGAAGTAGTCAAGTTGTCACCTCCCAAGCAGCAGATCTAGAGTTCAATTCCTACTAAGTGACGAATATTGAATTATCAAAAACTTGCAGATCCTATAAAAAGAGAGATGTCGACTTAATTGGATATACTGGCATAGAATGAACGCTATAATCTATAGTCACACCAATGATAATTAGAAGTATCCTGAGCTGGTACTAGATTAATCCAAAGGGCAAGTGATATTGTTTGGTTAATCAGAGCATGTAAAACTCTGGTGCGAATACGTATAAATGAACTATAGGGTACCAATTAGGAAAGACTGCTTGCAAATCTTGAGTATAGCGTATATCTGGTGTGATGGTAGAACGGATATAATAAGACCATATAAAAGTCTACTCCCGGTATATAGAGTAGGACTATATATTGATACTCATTACTAAAAACAATATATGAACAATAGTTACGAACAATTACTATACACAAACACAAATACAAACAAATGACCTCTTAAATAGGAAAACAATTATAAACAATAAGCAATAAGTTCTTCTAAAAGCTAGTTTAAGATTTGAGAATAGGATATTAAAGACCTTTGGGTCAAAGTGGTTCTCAAAACATCAGCCACCCCTGGTACTCTAGTCTAACATGTTTATAAGCCCTCACAGTTCTTTTTAATCTTTGCCTTACTCAGGGTCAAATCCCAAAACAATAGAAAAATAGTAGAATATTTCCTATACCCAAACGTAATACTTTTGATAGCAACCTTAATCTTACTCAACCAATTAGTCTTGTAGAACATATTCGCAAAATCTATACTAAAATTATTACTAATCGACTCAGTACTGTATTTCAAAAACATCTTATTCTATTACCTTTCAACTATGTTGCTCTATCTGGAAATTCTACTGCAACTCCTATACATATTCTTAATAACTTAATTAAGGATGCTACATATAAACATAAAGATATATGGCTCTTGTCTCAAGATATGAGTAAGGCCTATGACTCTGTCAACCTCTCTTTACTCCAATACTCACTTGCTCAACTTGCTCTACCAACTTCTATTATTCAAACTATAATCAATATTTTTACTAATCGTCACAATCAGATCATAACTAATCTTAGACTAACTTTCTCATATCCTGTTCTAAATGGTATTAATCAAGACGAAACTATTACTCTACTTCTTTGGAGAATATATTATAACCCACTTATATCACATATCCACTCACAGTTTTCTGGATATACTATACAAACATCTTGAATAACTAGCCTTAAAAATAGATCATTCAATAAACTTCAAGCTAGATGTTTAGTACTAGCCTATATGGACGATACTCTCTGGCTAGCCTCCTCACAAAATAAATTGTCACAAATACTTTCTACTGCCTAATCATTTTACAATATGGCTAATATACAAGTTAATCCTGCTAAATCTATTCTTTGTATCAATAACTCTCCTCCTCAGTATACTCCTATTATATATAATCAACACTTATTATCCTTACACTCACCTCATATTCCCTTTAAATTTCTTGGATGCTGGTTCACACTCAATAACAAATTCTCAAAACAAACACAACTTATTATTAAGGAATCACTACACCTTATTCAAATTGCAGATACTAAACATATCACTGACACACATGCTCGATATATCATTAATACTGTTATTATACCAACTATTGAATACTGACTTTACAACCTTGTACTTAGCTAACAAATCTATAAACAAATACTTTCACATCATATTAAACTTGTCAAGCACAAGGCTAAGCTAAACTGTACAATCCCTACAAGTACTCTTCTCTATCTACAACTTTATAATATTCGCAATATCTGGAATATTCAACTTCAACATCATATTACTAATTATATTAAGCAAATTAATAACCCTAATCTTCTAGATATTAGCTTCCAAATTCGTCTTCAACAACTCCAAAACAATCTTTGGTTATCTACGAATATCTTAACACATTCTAATCCTATTATTGATGGCTCTAACAAAAACTCAACCAACTTTAAAATTCTTAAGCTTTTTAATCATCTTGGTATATCAATCACTCACAATCCAATTTATAAGATTCCATATACTCCTCAAGAAGGCTCAATATCTCTTGAATCAATACTTTCATTACACCCTAACTATATGTCTTTCAAGAAACAACTTTGCAAACTTCATCTTCTCTATTTAGATCAACTTTCTACATATGACAATTCTTGTTTCTTTAGCTGAGAGCATATTGCACCAAGACTTTGTAAAATTCCTAAAGGAAAAAAATCTTTTTGGTTTACAACCCTTGAAGATCTAGTATTAAATCACAATAGTAACAGAATATTTTATGAATAATATAAACTTTCTAATATAAATTACTATAGCTTTTCTACTGGTTACTTTTCTTTAAAATCAAAGCTATAGCTTATAACTACTATTGAGGACCAAATAATAGTAGCCAAAGCAAGAAGACAGATCACTTCAACTGGTCTTGTTCTATTACATACTGGCAATACTTCTTTTTACCACAATTTACCAAATTATATCTAACTCAACCTATTAATTTTAGTATATATCCTGGCTATTCTCACAATTCTAATCTTATTACCAATAGATATACAATATTTATCTCTATTAATTTAGCGTCTAGATTTTTCTGTACTTTCAACTCTTAAGAAAAACTATTAAACCTTAGACTAATCATTTAGATTTAATATATTCTATTGTAATTCATCATCCTCTTCATATTTCACCTACTTCCAATATCTCTTACAACCCTGCCTCAATTCTACCTATATTTGAATCTGGACCTCTTACTAAT